TAATTACCAACCACCACAATCAGAATAGTGAAGTTTCATCATGCCCCCCAAATCCCCTAGTGCTTTGTAGTTAACCCCTCCGCAACCCCATCCCTTACAACAACTTCTTAGTTTTTTGTTCCTGTAATTTTGCCTATTCTAGAATGTCATATTGATGGAAGAAAACACCATGTGTCCTTTTGAATTGGGCTTCTTTCAGCTTAGCATCATGCAGTTGCGACTCATTTGTGTTCTGTGTATCAGTTGTTTGTTCCTTTATATTGCTGAGTAATAGTCCATTGTGTGGATGTACTATAGTATATTTATCCATTCCCTACCTGAGGCACATTCGGATGGGTTCTTTCCAGTTTTTAGCTATTATTAATGAAGCTGCTATAAATATTCATATTCAGGTTTTCTTTGTGTGTGTGTGTTTGAATATGTTTTCATTTCAGAGATATGTAAATTTCTATGAAATTTCATTTGATATATATATATAAAAATATTTATGAATGAGATTGTGGAGTCCTATGGTAAGTGTATGTTTAACTTTATAAGAAACTGCCAAGCTGTTTTGAAAAGTGAAGATTTTGCATTGTCATTGGCAATAGGAACATTACAGTTGCTCTCCAACTCTTTGGGATTGTCAGTTTTTCAAAAAAATAACTCTTTTCATTTTAATAGGTGCTTAGTGTTATCTCACTGTGGTTTTTATTTATTTTTTTTGAGGAGTAATGATGTTGAACATCTTTTCATGTGCTCTTTTGCCATTCATACATCATCTTGGGTGATATGTGTGTCTAAATATTTTGTTTTCCTGTTATTGAGTCTTGATATTTCTTTGTATATTCTGGATATGAGCCCTTTGTCAGATATGTGTTTTTCAAATATTGGCTTCCAGTCTTTGGATTTTGTTTTCCTTGTCTTAATATTGTTTGAGGAGTGCAAGTTTTAAATTTTGATGCCTTCCAATTTATCAGTATCTTCTTTTATGAATCACGCCTTTGATATTGTATCTAAGACATTTTTGCCTAACCCACAGTCATAGGTGTTTTTTTTTTTTTTTTTTTTTGAGATGAGTCTTGCTCTGCTATTCAGGCTGGAGTGCAGTGGCTTGATCTCAGCTCACTGCAACCTCCGCCTCCCAGGTTCATGCAATTCTCCTGTCTCAGCCTCCTGAGTACCTGGGACTACAGGTGCGCACTACCACGCCCGGCTAATTTTTTGTATTTTTAGTAGAGTTGGGGTTTCACCGTGTTAACCAGGATGGTCTTGATCTTCTGACCTTGTGATCCGCCCACCTCTGCCTCCCAGAGTGCTGGGATTAGAGGCATGAGCCACCGTGCCTGGCACAGTCACATGTATTTTTTAGAAATTTTACAGTTTTGGCCCGGCACAGTTGCTCACCACAGTAATTTCTGCACTGTGAGAGGCCGAGGCAAGCAGATCACTAGAGGTCAGCAGTTCAAGACCAGCCTGACCAACATGATGAAACCCTGTCTTTACTACAAATACAGTAAAAACAATGACAAAAAAGGAAATTTTATAGTTTTAAGGTTTACTTTAGGTCTGTGATGCATTGTGAGAAAGTTTTAAAATTGATTTTAATGTTAAATATCCTATATGCAACCTAAGTGAGCTGATTTAAAAATTGCTACATCTATGGGATATTATGCTGTTGATTGAGAGCATGAAGTATATCTACAAATGGTGATATAGAAAAATATATAAAATAGATTGTTAACTGTGAAAAAGCAAGTTGCAAAGCACCATGCCATTTGTGTGTGTGTTTGCATTGGGGAGAAGTTGATGGGTATAAAGAATAGAAGGTTTGCATATGCCTAAAAATATGAGAACTGCAAGTCTCTATTAACACTAATTCTTGGGGTATGCAGAATTTTGACTTAAAGCACTTTTATGTTCACCTGTATTATTTGATTTTTTTCTGCCTGGGCAAGTATTCCTTACATAATACATAAATATGTAAAGTAAAAAATTGACCATACATAAATAATTTTTAGATATAAAAATCATGGAAATAAATTAGTTCCACTCTTTAAAGGCATGCTACTCATAATTACTAAACAGAGGATTCATTTTCTTTTATTTTGTTAATCTCAAAATACCAAATTATAGCAGCCATATGTCCCCATCTTGGCTTTAAATCATCTTTGATGATTTCATTTCTCACAAGCCTGTATGAAAAAGTTTAAATTAATCTTGTTTGAAATAAATGTTATAAAAAGTTGTCATTTGTTACAATTTAGGATCTGGTCATATATCTAATCTATCTATTTAATCATATATCATGATGTAAATATTCTATTTTGAAGTGTTTTAATGTCATAAGAAAATGCTCATTATGTAGTGGTGAGAAATACATGAGTCCAATTTTATTGAAAAATACATAGAACAAAAATGGTAAAGAAATGTACTAACAGTGTTTAGCTCAGGGTGATGGGATGTTGGGTGATTTTTATTTTTTTTCAAATACTTTTTAGTACATTCTAGAGATATTTCTATAATAAATGAATTCTTTAGTTATGAATACAGGATATACTTAATAGAAAAACAGAAAATACAGGTAAGCAAGGGGGCGGGAACATCCAGGAACCCACCAATCCAGAACCCACTACTCTTGCTTCCTTGATGTGTCATCATCTTTCAGGTCCCTTTGTGTATATTTCTTGAATTAGAAAAATTGGACTTTTTAAAGCTGGATTATCGACAGTTTGTATGTCTTACTGTTTTTTTTTTTTTCTGATATGTGCATTTCTTCTTTATATCTTTACCCAGTTTTCTGTTAGAATTTTTTTTTTTCTTGCTGATTGGTAAGAGCTCTATAAATATGTAAATAAATTAACCTTTTATATATCACCCATGTTGCATTTATTTTCCCCAATTTCTCAGATCCTTTTAATTTCACTTAGAGTTCTTTTTCAGGTTTGAGACTCAAGAAGATTAACTGTTATGTAGCCACATCTGTTCGTCTTTTCCTTTTTGATTTATGCTCTTAGTATCATGCTTACTAAGTTACTAATTCCATAATTATGAAATTTATGTTTATGTTTATGTTTATAAATTTGTCGTTATGTTCCTTTCAGTCCCGTGGAGATTTCATATTTTTATTTATTACTTATAAAATTAGTTTTTTCTCTCATAAAAGTATTATGTTTATTGTTTGACTTTATCAAATTTCTGGACAGTTCTTTGATTTCCTATTATAACAGAGTAGATTTCTGATACTAATCCCTTCTTTTTGTGCATTCCTCCTCTCATGTACACTCAGTATAATTAAGGCATAATATTTGGTTAAATCAACATTCAATGGTTATGTAATTATAACTTTTTACATATTGTTTGATTGCTTTTTTCTTGTACATTGCTTTATTTTTCTTGTAGAATTTCTATGTGGCAATTGCAATTTCTTTCCAAATGCTTAAATCCATCTATAAGATCCAATTTTAATACCCTTTATCCATACCTTTTTCTAGATGGCCAAATTCGTAAGATAGTCTCTTATTGCATCCCACCTCCCTCAGGAACTGCATTTTATTTAATTTATTATTTTTATGAGTGCACCTAATAGAACAGACCTATTTGTAAGGCAGAATGAAAGATTTGTGGAGCCCTTTAGCTGACCCAGGTCATTGCCGGTTCCCTGTGCCTCTGCCTTTATTGACACGTATTATGCGGCTCTGCGCATGCTTCCATCTCATTGCTCCCTCTGTAATCTGCAATAAGTCTCCCTTGACAGGCTGTTTCAGGCATTTACAAGACATTTGGCCTTTTGGTGACTTATGCTTTTTCGTTGTGATGTGAGGGGCCAGGGTGATCCATCATCCCACAATAATAATGTCAGTGCTTTCCTAAGTGAGCGCAAACTCTTTTGCAGAGTTTGAATAAGGTTGACATCAATGCTTTTTTCATTTGCTGAGATGGGAAGAGCTGACCTCCTGGTCTTCTAAAACATAAGCTTTGGCAAATTGAATGGTTGGAAGCCAAGCCATAACATCGCTCTGTGTACCTAGGTGAAGCCTCAGGTTGTTTATATTTGTGCTTTCTCCTATGTCCATAGCTTCTCCGGACTCTGCCTCTGCTGTTCAAAAGTAAAAGAAAGATGAGTCATTTTGTAGGATAAGTAAAGGACATTGTCAGGTAGAGGAAATTGTCTTTTTCATATTGTTGCATAAGAAAGGGTTGAATGTATAATTGATAGGATTTAGGAAAGGATTTGTTGGAAGACACCCATTGACATGTAAAGCTGAGTATGAGAGGGCAAAAGCTAGAATTATCCCTCTTTCTTCCATTTGACTCAGCATGCGTGTTGCCCCAATGTCACGGGACAGATCTGGAATGGTGTTGGTCAGCCACACAGTTTGGAAGGATCAGTGTGGCTGTATCGCCCACTGTGAAACTTTGGCTTATGCTACCCTGCCAGGGAGGTGAGAGGCCTGCGGACAGTATCACATGAGAAATAGTTAAATAGATTGGTAATGTGGAGCCAGGTGAGAATCTGTCCTCTAATAAAGGAAGTTGGTTTTGTTCTCTTGTCTCAGAGGGAAGAAATAGAATTACGGGTTTTTGAAGGGGAGGGTTGATAAAATGAGAGCAGTGCCCTGGAGATAGGTACTCCATGAAAATGCAGCACCAAGGGGAGAGAAGAAATTAGAGCTGAGTGGGAAGAAGGAGGAACTAGAGTGGACAAGGCTAGAAAAAAGGAGGCAAAACCAAAAGAAAGTAGCAGGGGGACTTTGGGAGGCTGAGGTAGGTGGATCACCTGAGGTCAGGAGTTTGATACCAACCTGGCCAACATGGCGAAACCTTGTCTGTACTACCAAAAAAAAAAAAAAAAAAATTAGCCAGTGTGATGGTGGGTGCCTGTAATCCTAGCTAGCTGCTTGGGAGGCTGAGGCAGGGAAAATTGCTTGAACCTGAGAGGCAGAGGTTGCAGTGAGCCGAGATCGTGCCACTGCACCCCAGCCTGGTGACAGAGTGAGACTCCGTTTCAAAAAAAAAAAAAAAAGCAAGCAGGTAGCAGGAGGGCCTTAGGAAACCATTAAGATGAAGTGCATCTTGCTTGAGAGACAGGGGTGTCCCTGAGTGTTCACTCAGGGAAGACTAGGGACACAGTAAATGTTTTTCCTAGAGGCACAGGAAGCAACCAAGATGGCATTTACTTCTGCATTCTCTTTTAGCCATACTCAGTATCTAACATTCTGGGCAATATATTTTCTGTATACTGTGGCATAAGGTTTAATAATCCATGTACACAAGATGTCTTTTGGTGAAACTGGGGAGCTCTTAAGTGTGACTTCAATAGCAACATAATCTTTAAAACAAAGCCTCTGAGTAATTGGATATTAACACTAACTAATGAAAAATTTAAATATCTAAATCACTTGGTATTAAATTTTTTATTTGTTGATGCAGGATTTCAATGGATATTATAAAGGGAAACCTAGATGGAATTTCAAAACCAGCCTCAAATTCAAGAACACGTCCTGGGAGCAGAAGTTCGAATGCTTCTTTGGAGGTGCTCTCACCAGAACCAGGATCTTTCAAGGTAATTTACTGTTTAGAAATGATTTGTACTTCTTCCCCCAACCTCTCAGCAGCTGATGAAATTAAGGTTGTTGTTAACAGCCCATTTAAAATTTTCTCCTTAGATGGTATATTCAGAGAGCACTTGCAGATTTCTTGGGTGTTAATCTAGATTAATAGGATAAAACTCTCCTCCCTTTCTTTCTTCCCTCCCCGTCTCTCTTCCTCTCCCACCTCTATCCCTCCCTCCCTCCTTCCTTTTTCCCATTTTTTTTCCCGAGTGTGGTTTATTTCCCTACATTGTACTTTGTTAAAACTTGAATGTCGACTCTTTTTTTCTTTATAAGGATGTTTTTTATTCCAACATCTAATATGCCACCATTGACTTTTACTAAATAGGCTTACTCAAAAAGATTCAGTATTTAAAAAAAAATGGCTTGGTAAAGTCCATGTGATATATATTTGGTAGGTTTATTTTATTAGTCCTTTCTCACATTGCTATAAAAGAACTACCTGAGTAAGACTGGGTAATTTATAAAGAACAGAGGTTTGCACGGTTCCACAGGCTGTACAGGAAGCATGGCTAGGGAGGCCTCAGGAAACTTACAATCATGGAGGAAGGTGAAGGGGAAGCTGGCACATCCTACCTGGCTGGAGCAGGAGAGAGAGAGTGAAGGGGGAGGTGCTACACACTTTCAAACAACCAAATTTCGTGAGAACACTATCACAGGAACAGCAATGATTCAGTCACCTACCACCAGGACCCTCCTCCGACACTGGGAATTGCAAATCATCATGAGATTTGGGTGGGGACCAGAGCCAAACCGTATCAGATATTGTCTGGCTGTGACCTTATTTTTATTTTTTTCTTTAGAAGTTCCCCCCCGCTTTTTTTTTTTCTGTAGGCTATCTAGAGTTGATTATTTTTTATTTTTTAGAGATGAGGGTCTCGCTGTGTTGCCCAGGCTGGAGTGCAGTGGCTCTTCACAGGCGTGATCCCACTACTCATCAGCACGGGAGTTTTGACCTGCTCCGTTTCTGACCTGGGCCGGTTCACCCCTCCTTAGGCAACCTGATGGTCCCCCGCTCCCGGGAGGTCACCATATTGATGCCAAACTTAGTGCGGACAGCCAATCAGCATAGCGCATACAGCCCAGAACTCCTGTGCTCAAGCAATCCTCCCACCTCAGCCTCTCGAGTAGCTGGGACTATAGGCATGCACGACCGCCACCCGTGATTTTTTTTAAGGCATTAGTTTTTTTCATTAATTTCTTTTAAGGTTTTAGGAAATGAGTAAGGGCCGGGCGTGGTGGCTCACACCTGTAATCCAAGCACTTTGGAGGCCAAGGTGGGCAGATCACCTGAGGTTGGGAGTTCAAGACCAGCCTGACCAACATGGTGAAACCCCATCTTAAAAAAAAAAAAAAGGAAATGAATAATTTGAACATTATAGTGAAAAAAATTTTTTCAAGTTAATGAATTCATACTCATTTTCTTTTTATTTTCGACTAGACTCTGCATTATGGAACTCTTAAGAGTTCTGTCTGTCATGATGTGGTTCAGGAATAGCACTCTAGGTATTTTAATCAGAAAAAGATTGAATACAAGAGTTAAAGCCTGGGCAATATTGTAAGACCCTAACTCTACAAAAATATTTAAAAATTAGCAGGACATGGTGGCACATGCTTGTAGTCCCAGCTACTTGAGAGGCTGGGACAGGAGGTTAGCTTGATCTCAGGAGTTTAAGGCTGCAGTGAGCTATGATTGTGTCACTGCACTGCAGCCTGGGTGACAGAGCGAGGCTGTGTTCCCCTTCCCCTCCATTGCAAAAAAGAGTTTAGTTCTTCAGAATCAACAGAAGACCTCAAAATCAGCAGAAGACCAGAAGGAAAGGGTGTTCAGGGAGGGGGCATTCTCTGGATTATGGGTTCTCAGGTCATACCACCATAGCTATAATCCAGAGTTCAGAAAGCTGCTGCTGCTGCTTCTGCTACAGCCACAAGTCCCTCAGAACCACGAAGCTGGTGACTAGACATGCAGAGATGGCTGCCTTTGATATTTTTCTGCCAACATCCTATCAGGAACTTAGGAAGATGCTTCTACCTCAAATCTGCTTTCTAAATCTTGTACAGGTTCATCTAATTAGACTATCCTAATATATGTCCAGAGCCCTAGATGTAAGTGACTTTGTGCAAAATACGGTTTTGTTTCATCTAGTCCTGCATCATTACTATATGGTGTGTTAATTCTTATAGCTTTGTAATAATTACTATCTCTGATAGGGTGGCTCTTCCATATTATTTTTTTTCCAGACTCTTTTTAACTATCCTTGGCTTTTTGCTCTTCTATATGTATTTATTTCTTTTTTATTTTTTGAGATAGAGTGTCACTCTGTTGCCCAGGCTGGAGTGCGATGGCGTGATCTCGGCTCACTGCAACCTCTGCCTCCTGGGTTCAAGTGATTCTCCTGTCTCAGCCACCCGAGTAGCTGAGACTACAGGCACACACCCATAAGGCCACCTAATTATTCTATTTTTAGGAGATACGGGTTTTCACCTTGTTGGCCAGGCTAGTCTTGAACTCCTGACCTCAGATGATTCGCATGTCTTGGCCTCCCAAAGTGCTGGGATTAGAGGCATGAGCCACTGCAACTGGCCTATGTGTACTTTAGATCAGTTTTTTAAGTTCTGAAAAATCTGGTTGGGGTTTTGATTGAAATTGCTTTTTACAGATTAATTTGGGGAGAATTTTTAACTTTGTGATATTAAATCTTCCCATGTATTAATATTGTGTCTCAATTGATCTATTAACTTTTAGTTTTTAGTTAAAAAATTCACATACAGTAAAATTCACTTTTTGGTGTATAGTTATGTGAGTTTTGGCAAATAGATTGAGTGATATAACTACCATTACCATCAGGATATATAACAGTTCCATCATCCCTCAAAACGTTTTTCATTCTATTCCTTCGCAAACAATCCCATGCCACTCTTAATCCCTTACAATTAGTGATCTATTCTCTGTTCCTTTTCTTTTTCGTTTTCCAGCAGGTTGTATACATAGAATTGCAACTGGGTTTTTTTCTTGGGTGCTGGTGAGGCATGGCTACCCTGAGAGAATGCTGTGGGTTCTTGGTCTCCAGTCTCTTAAAGAAGAAGCAATGGGACCACTGCAGGTGCACCGTACACTCGTAAAAGTAAATATTGGACCCAAGAAGTTGTTGGGTGTGGTGATGCACCCCTGTGGTCCCAGCTAGTTGGGGAGGCTGAGGTGGGATGAATGCTTTAGCCCAGGAGGTTGAGGCCACAGTAAGAAAGGTGATTTTATTTAGGTAGAGAAAAGAGAAGAAGAGAAAGACTTCCACGAAGAGTGTGGAAGGGGATTCCAGAGGGGAAATCCCACAGGGGAAAGGGAACGCCTACCATGTGGGAGGGAATTCCAGAGAGGTGGAAATCCGGTGTGGGTGAAGGAGGAGGGGAATTTATCCTGGGAGAAATTCTCACCTTCCCAAGTTCCTCTGGCCAATGAAAGGAGTTCCTTTAAACTTCCGCTGGGGTGATTGACTCTTAGTTTCTTCCCTCGCCCGTGAAATTCACACATAAACCATTAAATCTCCCAGATGGAGAGAGATGGGAGAGGGGCATGGCGCTGGGAAATTCTTGCCCTTAAAACTACACCCCCTCATGGACCTGGAAAGAGAACGCATTCCCTTAGAATCATACAGTATGTATCTTTTTGCTCTGACTTTTATTTCCTAGTATACGTAATGCATTTGAGATTCATCTGTGTTAATACATGTGGCTAATTTTCTTTTTAAAAAATTTTAAATAGAGACAAGGATCTCACTATATTGCCCAGGCTTCAAATTTTAGAGTAGCGTAGAATTAGTATTCCTGCTTGTCTATTTCTGGGTGACAATTTTTTAAGCAGCAGCTTCATGATATTGATACTTATATATGTTTTAATACACAGATTAATATTACTTCATTCAAGACTTATTAAAAGCAGAATATCAGTGATCATGTAAAATCAGATTGTATTGTAACCTGCTAAGCTACAGATGAAAATTTAGAATATTTATTAGCCGATATGGACTTTGAGACTTATATTGAAAGCAAAGTTTTCAAAGTTGTGGTTTGTGTTAATCAAGTTCATAGATAATTAGTAAGGTTCACTTTAGGCTGGGCAAGAAAGCTACAAATATATTGTATGCTGACTGCTGATTGAAAATTATTCAACGTCTGGAAAACCTTACACATTATTTGACTAATAAATCTTGGTGTGTTGGTTAGTTTTATTGCTCAGATTTGTCTTTTATTAAATTCTTACCAAAGATTTTTTTTTCACAGCGGAAAAAAAACATATTAGCGTTTTAGTGACATGTATTTAGTGATAATATATTTCTCATTCTAAAAAGTTTAGCTTTTTGTTGCTTATGAATTTTTTTTTTAAAGAGCCAATAGTTGTATTTTGTGTAAAAATCTCATGGGTTTCAAGTAGGAATCTAAATATTAAGAAGGGTTTTCATGAGATATTTGCATTTCCTGGGATGAAGATGAAGGGATAGAGTGGGGGATGTGGAGCCATGAAAAATGGAGGTGGGGCTGCGCGTGGTGTCTCATGCCTACAACCCTAGCACTGTGGGAGGCTGAGGCACGCAGATAACCCGAGGTCAGGAGTTTGAGATCAGCTTGGCCAACATGGTGAAAGCCCATTTCTATTAAAAAATACAAAAATTAGCTGGGTGTGGTCATGCCCCCCTGTGGTCCCAGCTAGTCGGGGAAGCTGAGGTGGGAGGACTGCTTTAGCCCAGGAGGTTGAAGCTGCAGTGAGCTGTGAACATGTCACTGCACTCCAGTCTTGGCGGAGGTGAGATGTGTTGTTAAGAATGAGGAAAAGAGAAAAATCATATACATAGGCCACAAGACAGAAGAGCAAGGGGTTAGGAACAGCGAGGCCAGTGGGCAATGGGATGGGAACATTTGTGAAATTTGCCTTGTTCTCCAGTTTTGCCTTTGTGCCTCATTACCTTCTGCTCTTTCTGAGTTAGGATCATGTAAGATGATGGGTGTGAAAGGTCTGGGGGTACCCTGAAGTGTGCTATCCATCTAATTATCTTTTGTATATTATTTATTCCCCCATGTGAAACTCAGCCTCAAAGGAAGTTCTGCTAAGTTCGTTTATACTAATATAAATGACGGACAGAAGTTGTGTGATTTCTCCCAGAAATGTTAGCTTTTTCACACAACAGAAGGCCTTAAGGATTAACTGGATATTGTGGAATTCCAGGGTTTTTTTTTTTTTTTTTTTTTAATACTTTAAGTTTTGAGGTACTTGTGTAGAATGTGCAGGCTTGTTATATAGGTATACATGTGCCACAGTGGTTTGCTGCATCCATCACCCTGTCATCTACATTAGGTATTTCTGCTAGTGCTATCCCTCCCGTATCCTCCCCCAACCCCCTGCTATTCCTCTCCTAGTCCCCCAGCCCCTGACAGGCCCCGGTGTGCGATGTTCCTCTCCCTGTGTCCATGTGTCTCATTGCTCAACACACACTTATGAGTGAGAACATGCAGTGTTTGGTTTTCTGATCTTGTGTCAGTTTGCTGGGAATGGTTTCCAGCTTTATCCATGTCCCTGCAAAGAACATGAACTCATCCTTTTTTATGGCTGCTTAGTATTCCATGGTGCATATGTGCCACATTTTCTTTATCCAGTCTATCATTGATGGGCATTTGGGTTGGTTCCAAGTCTTTGTTATTGTGAACAGTGACACAATAAACATACGTGTGCATGTGTCTTTATAACAGAATGATTTATAATACTTTGTATATATACCCAGTAATGGGATTGCTGGGTCAAATGGAATTTCTATTTCTAGATCCTTAAGGAATCACCACACTGTCTTCCACAATGGTGGAACTAATTTACACTCCCACCAACAGTGTAAAAGTGTTCCTATTTCTCCACATCCTCTCCAGCATCTGTTGTCTCTTGATTTTTTAATGATTGCCATTCTAACTGGCGTGAGATGGTATCTCAGTGTGGTTTTGATTTGCATTTCTCTAATGACCAGTGATGATGATATGTTTGTTGTCCACATAAATGTCTTCTTTTGAGAGGTGTCTGTTCATATCCTTTGCCCACTTTTTGATATGGTGGGTTGCTTTTTTCTTGTAAATTTAAATTCTTTGTAGATTCTGAATATTAGCCCTTTGTCAGATGGGTAGATTCCAAAAATTTTTTTCCCATTATCTTTGGTTACTGGTTCATGCTAATGATAGTTTCTTTTGCTGTGCAGAAGCTCCTTAGTTTAATTAGATCATCCCATTTGTCTATTTTGGCTTTTGTTGCCATTACTTTTGGTGTTTTAGTCATGAAGTCCTTGCCCATGCCTATGTCCTGAATGGTATTGCCTACGTTTTCTTTTAGGGTTTTTATGGTGTTAGGTCTTATGTTTAAATCTTTAATCCATCTTGAGTTAATTTTTTTATAAGGTATAAGGAAGGGGTCCAGTTTCAGCTTTCTGTGTAGGCTAGCCAGTTTTCCCAACACCATTTATTAAATAGGGAATACTTTCCCCATTGCTTGTTTTTCTCAGGTTTGTCAAAGATCAGATGGTTGTAGATGTGTGGCATTATTTCTCAGGCCTCTGTTCTGTTCCAGTGGTCTGCATGTCTGTTTTGGTACTAGTACCATGCTGTTTAGAATGCCAGAGTGAATTCCACTGTTTTTCTGGTCTTTGGCAGAAATATGTTTTTGAACAGGGAACCCTGTTTAACCACCTCCCAGATTACAACACTGTTTTGCTTATTTATAAATTGGGCTTTCACTGGTTTCGTTCTCTGCTGGGTCTGTTGTCTTCTCCGTTAATTCATAGTAGTGAAACTTACACCATAGGAGCATTGTGAGAAGTGAATGAGGCAGGCCATGACTGATAGTAATTCTTCAGTAAATGGTGGCTATGATTATTACCACTGAGTCAGCTCAGTTCCGCTGGGTGTATGTCCTGGCTCAGGCAGGGAGATGCTCATGCAGACCTGCATTCCCGGCAGTTTCATTCACTGCCCGTCTTCTGCCCTGGGTATTCACTAGGGGACTGCAGATTGTGGTAGAGAGTTGAGCACGTGGTAGAGAGTTGAGCATGTGGTGCAGAGAGAACACAAAACCTACAGAGGCCTGAGAGCAGATGGGCTGGAGGAGACAGTCTCTCTGCTGGGAGGGGAAAGGTACTCCTCTGAGAAGGGGCTGACTCTCTGAGGTCTTGCCTCTCTCCCTTGGGCTGTGTTAACTTCTGAAGTGATTCTCATCACAGTTTATAAACCCCAGGGCCTGTGATCTGTTTTTCCCTCACCCGGTCATGGAAGTCCTTTTTTATTCTCTCTTAGGAAAACACAGCTGTGTCAACTGGTGTTTTCAAAATGAACTTTGCTAAAATGTAAAGGGAAACTAAAATGAAATAGAAAAACTGTGAATAACATAAAAATAAATAAATGACCAAAGCACAGAATTCTGAATAGGAGACTCTCTCCAGAAACTACATCTCAACTCAGACTAGCCACTTTTCAATCACTCTGTAGCCACATGTGGCAAGTGGCTGTCATATTGGACAGCACAGCCTTAGACCTTTTACCGTCCATCCCAGTGTAAGCTCAAGGAGCAGGGCCCGTTGTGCCTTATCCCAGAGCCTGGCAGATAGCAGGCCCCGTCGGGACTGATGTAGACTCTTCTCCATTATTGCTGGGGGTTGCTGGAGAACGGTGCAAATCTTACTACATGGAATTGTGTCGTTAAATTGCATTTAATTAGAGTGGTATATTTCTAGAATACTTTAATGCTAGTGTATATATTTACATACATTCTCCATCTGCTTTCCATTAGTGTCAAAATATTCTAGAAACATAACGTTTAAAAAAATGCAGAATTTTTGGAAACCTTTTTTTTGGAAATTATTTTTAGGTTGATACTGTAAGCAGCTTGAACTCCGGTAAAGAGAACCACTCCGAAAGCAGTAGTACAGAGAACAGAAGAACTAGTGATGATGATAAGGGGGAAAACCACTCTGAGAAAATACAGTTGGCCGAAGAGGGATCAGATGAAGATCTTGATTTGGTTCAACATCAGATAATCACTGAGTGTTCAGGTAGGATAATCACTAGGTGATTGGCTCATGATAATTACAAATGTTAATGATAATTACAAATGTTATATTTAAGGTGTTAGCATTACCTGTGTTTTTACCAGCTAAGTAGAAATAATAAACCAAAAAAAGACATATACTATTTGTGAGCAGGCCATCACTTTTTATTTATAAGACTATTAAGAGGCCTTAAATATCATATATTATATTAGAAATATTATAAAATATGTCATTTAATAAAATAGTTGTTGTGGTTATACATTAATCAAGTAGGGATTAGTTCTGCATTTCATAGCATGATTTATTATTTTTTTTAATGACGAAAATTGTACAATAAAATATATCCTATAATTTGTAGGGACAGTCCCACCCAATAACATTTGGATTGTGAAAGATGCCATTTTTTTATGTTGGCAAATTAATTGTAGTCAGATTGCATTAGAATAGTACTGTTCAAAAAGTAGTCTGCAGAGCCCTGGGAGTATGGTAGGAAATGGTATCCCTGAGACCCTTGCAGGGGCTCTGCAAGGTAAAAGCTGTTTTCATAGTAACACTGAGGTGCTATTTGCCTTTGTGTCCACCATACTGACATTTGCCTGATGGTATAAAAGTAATGATGGGCAAAATTGCTGGTGCCTTAGCATGAATCAGTACAATGGCACCAAAATGTACCAGTAGTCCTTGTGTTCTTTGCAACCAGGCACTGGCTGCAAAAAGAAATAGGCAGTGTCAGTGGCTATGAATCAATAAAAAATAACAGTTTTATTAAATTTTGACCCTTAAATATGCATCTTCTGAGCATCCTGTGGGGTACAATGGGAAGCATACATAAAGCAATTCTGCTGTACACCAAAGTTTGTGTTGAAGAAAAGTACTTTTGTGATAGTTGGAGTTGACAGCTGAACTGGCCACTTTTTTAGTGGAACACCGTATTTACTTGAAAGAATGGTTGACAAAAAAACAATTATTCAGATGGGTATTTGGTAGACTTCTTTTTTTTTTTTTTTTTTTTTTTTTTTTAAAGAAATTCCCATTCTTTTATGGGAGATAGGAAGCAGGGTAGAGGGGAAACCGCAGATCTAGAGCCAGTAGCAAGATTTGCTGCTGAGGCGAAGGAACAAAGTAGATTACCGTCAAACACTCAAAATGATCATCTCCTGGGGAAGGCCCAAATGGTAGAGGGGATGAAAAACCGCAACCAGGAAAGGTATGGGCCAGAGTAGTTATAACCTGGGTCTGTACCCTACCCCCCTCTTTTCTCCCTCCCTCCCTGTGGTGCCCCATCCCAGGATGGCCCTACATGTGGCGCTGGTAGCCAGAGTGCATCTGAGCCGCCCGCAGGTAATCATTATAGGAGCCCGAATAGCGTGCGTAATCAGAATGGGCATCGGGCAGGCGACGGTAATCCAGCGAGGACTTTGTCGGCGAGCGGCGGAACGAAAGCTGCGACTCTGATAAACGGCGGTAATCAGAGAGCTCGGCTAAACGCCGGTCGGAACCATACCTTTTCGACATGGCGACAGCCTTTTTGTAGGGATCGTCGTAGCTGGCCCGGGGCGGGGAGAGGCGGGTACGCTCATAGGGCGGCGGGGTGCTGTTGGCGTTGGCAACGGCCCCCTGGGACATGGACAGGTAGGCTGCAGACGGCTGACCTGCCCCATCGTAGGCACTGCCTGGCTGGCCGCGGTAGGAGGCAGCAGCCTGGGGATGCTGCTGGGCAGCATAGGAAGCAGCCAATGAGGCTGATGACTGTGTGCGGTAAGGAGCTGCCAGGGTGGCAGAAGGTTGGGCCCCGTAGGCAGCTGCGGCACCATAGGAGCCAGTGGCCGCAGCAGCCGACTGAGCCCCATAGGAGCCTGAGAGGCCCATTGATGCTTGGGCCCCGTAACTATTCAGCTGGGTCTGGACAACCGGCTGGGCCCCATAGGAGCCAGCCATTGGGGTAGTGGCTTGGGCAGCATAGGCTGCTGGCTGACTGGCATAGGTGGCAGCTGTGGCTGGCTGTGCCACATAGGCAGCAGGTTGAGAAGAGTAGGAAGCAGCCTGCTGTGCAGCATATGGGGCAGACTGGGCATTGTAAGAGGCCGAGGGCTGGGCATTGTAAGAAGCTGCCTGGGGTCCATAAGCTAGTGAGGAGGCTGCAGACTGAGCCCCATAGGAGGCTGCCTGAGCCCCATAGGAGCCTAAGGAGGAAGCTGCTCCCTGGGTGTTGTAGGAAGAAGCAGCTGCACGAACCCCATAGGAAGAGGCAGCCTGGGTGCCGTAAGAGGATGGCTGGTTACCATAGGAGGCAAGGGAGGAACCCTGAGCCCCACAGGAGTTGAGCGAAGAAACCGCAGCTGCCTGACCCCCGTAGGGAGAAAGGGCCGAGGCCGAGGGCTGGGCTTCACCATATGGGCCGAGTGAGGAAGCTGCAGCAGACTGGGAGCTAGGACTAGCCAGCTGACCCCTGTATGGGGCCCCAAGGGAGACAGAGGCCTGAGCGCGGTAAGAGCCTGCCTGGGCTGTCATGGGCTGAGTCCGATAGCCAACACCCAAAGAGGCAGAAGGCTGGGCCCTGTAGGCAGCTCCCAGTGACACTGATGGCTGGGCCCGGTAGGTAGCTGGCTGGGCCGTCAGAGGAGCCACATAAGAGGCTCGGGGAGGTGAACGGCGCAGGGGGCTGCGGTCGCGACCAAAGAAGGGTGGTGTGGGCTGACGAGCTTGCCCATCAAAGCCACCAGTGCTGTTGCCAAAAGCCTGCTGGTAGTCGAAGGTGGCAGAGAAGCCACCAGTTCCAGGGAAGGCCGTATCCCCAGCCCCTGGTTTCTTGGTCTTGTCCCCAGACTGGATAGCCAGGCCAGGCCCCTTCTTCTGACCCTTGGTGGAGAGTTCCACGTTGATGCGCTTGTCCTTCACTTCTTTGCCGTTGAGCTGCGCGATTGCGGCTTTGGCATCTGCTTCCTTCTCCATGTGAACAAACGCGTAGTCTTTCATCACGTCACACTCGATGACGCGTCCGCGGCACTCGAAGAGGCTGTGCAGTTCCTGGCTCGTGCATGCAGCCGACACATTGCCCACGAAAATCTTCCAAGTATTAAGAGGCCTTGGGCGCGACATCTCCACCACGAGCGCGCGCCCCGGCCGCAGCTCGTGGCCATGCAAGGCTTGAATTGCGCGCAGCGCGCCCGCGTTCTCGCGCATGTGCACGAAGGCAAACTCTTTCATGACGGCGCAGCTCCTGACCGTGCCGTAGGGCGCAAAGAGGGCTGCCAGCTCCTCTGGAGTCGTATCCGCCCCGTCGACATTGCCCACGAATATCTTCATCTTGTCGCCGCAGCCGCCTTCCCGGAGAGCGCGGACCTCTCCTTCAGCGACAAGCGAAACGTCCGAACGACCGGCAGTCCTCCCCAGGAATCTAGACTTCTTTTTAAGAAAATAAAACATGTTATTTTGAGGATAACTACTGATGGTATTTGTTTCCAATGGTAAAATTTGAGCTTTTGAGTGAAAATTAGTTTGGGAAAACTGCATATGTCACTGTGAGCTTGATAGCTTCCCAATACTTAGACTTTTCTTAAAAAAATTGGTGGCATTATTAACTAATGCCATTGTGTAATGAAATGTCTTAACATTTTGAAGCTCTGTATAATTTAAGTAACCACTATTTTCCAAATGATCAATGTAGGATAAAAGATCCATTCAACATGAAAAACAGACTCATGGATTTTAATGGAACAAATAAAGCTCACTGATTTGGTTGCAGATTTCACTTAACAGCCTGTAAGAAACTACCCCTGTTAAGTTTTGGTTTAGTATCAAAGTCTAATTATCCGAATAGGCTATTAAGATTCTTCTTCCTATTCTAACCACATATCTGTGTGAGGCCAATTTTCTGCATATACTTCAACCAAAATAACAGACTGCAGTAGAATGACTGTAGAAGTAGATGTGAGAATCCTGCTTTCTTCCCTTCATCCAGATATTACAAATTTAAACAATACCAATTTTTTCGCAAGTTTTTTGTGAATGTAGTATTTGTCATAAAATGTGATACTTATGTTAACATAATTAGTAACAGCATGTTTTTTTATTTTTTGATAGTTAATAATATTTAAAATACTTTTCAGTGTTGATTTCTAATATGTTCATTATCAGTACCTATAACCAACATACGAAAAGTTACTATGGGTTCTCAATAATTTTTAAGACTGTAAAGGGGAGCTGAGAAAAAGTTTGAGAGCTGTGATTTAGAGTATGTTTGGTATGAGATCGGCTCTCACTGTTAGGTCAAGTGACTCAGGATTATAGTTATCAGGAAACAAGGTGAAACAGGAGAGTTCCTTTATCTCCCTTGCAGGTCACGCGACAGGGGTGTGACTCACTTCTTCATTGCCCCTCTGCTGAAACCCCTAGAGGGGGCAGGCAGACAGGCAGGTGCAGAGGCCACGGGGGTTGCTTTTGGGCTCTGACCCCACGGCAATGTCTAGGGGTGAATGTTTACAACTCCCGAAGCCCAGGTGGGCATGTGTTACAGTGCGCCCTCAGTTTTGCCGTCTGCTGGCAGCTTGTGTTAATCAGCTCAATTAGACCCTCTGCCTTATCACAAGGGCAGAGGGCTTTCTGTATCCTAGGTTCTTACCCTGGTCTACTGGAAAAATCAAATCACATGTTGGCTTGGAGGATGAGTGCAAGGTTTTATTGAGTGGTGGAGGTAGCTCTCAGCGAGATGGATGGGCAGCTGGAAGGGGGATGGAGTGGGAAGGGTGGTCTTCCCCTGGAGTCAGGCTGCCCAGTGATTGAAATCTCCTCCGACTGCCTCTTGCTGCCCTTGGGATCTGCATCGTTCCACCTTCACTGGTTTGCCGGTGTCTGCTGGTGTGTGCCTTTGCTCCTCTCAACATCCAGCCACTTCTGTCATGTATGCTTAAGGTCTCGGGTTTATATGGGCACAGGATCGGGGAATGGCAGACCAGAGTGGTCTTAGAGAATGCAACATTTGAGCTTGAAAATAGGAGTGCTTGTTCTCACTGAAGTCCGTGGACAGAGGCCCAAGGATGGAACCCCGCCAGGAACCCTATCTTTCTCTACCCAGCATTTTCCTGTACCCTTCCTTTGTCAAATATATTATAAATGAAATTAGCTGTTGACACAGTTTATTATTTCATTTGTTTATATTGTTTTAGTACTGCATGAGTTACTTCAAATTGCCTGCTATATAGACTACCTCTGTTCACAGAGTCTGAGAATGCTAGGATTGGCAGTTGGGAATAAGAACTGGAAGATGTTGCTTTTGAACTACATACACAATAATATTCAAGGAATATCCTTATTAATAATATCAGTATTCTTTTTGGATAAGTTGATGCCCTCTTTCTGTTTTTCCTTTAAGAGGAAATGATGGAGCTGGGAGTAGTAGCTCATACCTGTAATCCCTGCATTTGGGAGGCCCAGGCATGAGTATCACCTGAGCCCAGGAGTTTAAAATCAGCCTGGGAAGCATAGTGAGACTCCATCTCTACAAAATTTTTAAAAAAAAAATTAGCCAGGTATGGTGGCATGTGCCTGTAGTCCTGGCCGTGGCTATTCGGGGTCTGATGCAGGAGGATTGCTTGAACCAAGGAGTTCGAGGTTGCAGTGAGCCCTGATCACACCACTACATTTCAGCCTGAGTGACAGAATGAGATCCCGTCTCTTAAAAAAAAATAAAAGAAGTGATGTACATTCAGTGATGAACATCACTGAACTCTTTGGGTTTTCAAAAGTTGCTAAATTTGGCCTTACTTAGCACGATATGCCACTTCTAATGATCTAACCTGGGGTGGCTGAGACTTAGAAGCTATTTGAGCATTCCTGCTCATTGCTGGATCATCAGTTTTCATCAGATTTAAACAGAGAGATTATCATCTGCAGCTAAGGGGCTGAGGGCTTTGGCTCTGCAGTCAGACAGATTTGAGTGGACCCTGACTGCCATTAACCAGTTATATCACCTGGGACATACATGTAACTCAGTTACAAATTAGCTTCAGTTTACCAATTTGTAAAATTGATTATACCACCTTAGAGAGTTAATGGGTTAATATGAGCATTAGATGATATAATGCAATTAAATAAAGCCCTTAAAACTGTGCCTGTCAGGTAACTCTATAAATGTTAGTTATTATCATTAATTATAAGTTAATGACAGAAGTTTTAAAGAGGCCTTAATTTTAAATAAGTCACTATCAATTATCTACAATTCAAGACCTTTTTAAGTACTTAAAGAAATTAGAACAAAGGAAGCAGTATAGAAAAAGGATTATCTAGCTACATGGAGTACTTGTTTGTTTGTTTCTTCTATATGTTGCAACCGCTTTGTGTCACTGAAGACATAACGGCCTTTTACTGTAGCATTTGTGTACACACCTTCTCTTTCAGTTAGTCTGAAGCAGCCTTAGGACAGGATTCCTGTCTTACTCCTTATTTCCTATTTCTTAGTCATTAATACAGAAAGTATAACAGAACAAAGGAGAAAGAATTTGCGATTTAAAATCATAAGAATCACTTCTGAGTCCAATGCTATAATTTATTACCTATTTGAAAGGACCCAGTTGTCTCACCTGTAGAGATAAAGGTCTGTTTCATAGGGTTCTTAGATAATTATATAAGTACATGTGAAAGCACCTCGTAAATCTAGATACATGGTAGCAATATAGTAGTTATTACTATCAGCTTTAAATATTTGTTGAATAAAAGAACAAATTGTAAGAACAGAACAAAACTTTATAGTTTTACTATACTTCCAACCTATTTTCACTTTCAACACAATATAGATGAACCCAAATTAAAAGAATTAGATTCTCAACTTCAAGACGCCATTCAGAAAATGAGGAGACTTGATAAAATACTGGCAAAGAGACAACACAGAGAAAAAGAAATTAAGAAGCAAGGCCTAGAAATGAGAATAAAGCTGTGGGAAGAACTCAAGGTAAGAACTGTCTAACCTTATGCTGACATGTAAGAAACTGTTTCTCCTGGCTGGACATGGTAGCTCACCCCTGTAATCCCAGCACTTAGGGAGACTGAGGCAGAAGGATTGCTTGAGGCCAGGAGTTTGAGACTAGCCTGGGCAACATAAAGAGATCCCATGTGTACAAAAAAATTTAGAAAATTAGCAGGGATGGTAGCGCATGCTTGTCACCCTAGCTACTCGGGAGGTCGGCAGAGCCCTTGAGCCCAGGAGTTCAAGGCTGCGCAGTGAGCTATGATCACGTCACTGCACTCTAGCCTGGCTGACAGAGCGAGACCCTCAAAAAATAAGAAAAAGAATTTCTTCTAAGATGGGTAAGAAAATCATGGACCATGGTAGTGTTACTGTGGCCTGCCTTTATTGCTTTATTTTGTGGAGGTAGTGGCATTGATACGTATATGTGTGTATGTGAAGGAGTTGCAGGGGTGATATTTTTCTGGAACCTGAGAAGAAAACTTGGTCTGCAGCATCCACATTTCAAGCACTGCAATGGCGTGTTCCTCTCTCCAGGGACAGACCCAGGGTACCTCTCTTACCAGCACCAGGCTGGTAAAGTACTGGGCTCCTCCATCTCTGGAACAGGAAGAGGTGTAATAGATGCTTTCATTAAGTATGTGTATGTCTGCTTTTTCTTTAGCAGCCTTATAGTTTGAAGATAAATAGACAAAGTTGAACCCTCTGGTTAGCTTTATTATTTGGGTAAACCTTTGTGACAAACAAGTTTTGGGGAGTTGAGTGTTTCATGTGCTGGCCTGAGATCTTTGGGAAGCTGTAAAGTGCTTGAGGTCTGGGACCGTACCTGATTTGCTTCTGTCTCAACAAATTCCTGGTACTCAATTAACTTTCCTTGGCCTTCTTGGACCTCTTATTCCCTGTAATATTGAGGGCTTGAAGTTGACTAGACATTGGCATTGACTTGGTGTATAGCCGTTGGCTCATATTTGAATTTTGACCCTTAAAGGAGGGTACCTTTCAGGTAAGGAACCTTGCAATAAGAGATGGGTCATTTTTGATAAAGCCCCCCTTAAAAAGTTGACTGACTTCTGGGAAAATTGCCTAGGCAATAATATAAAATAAAAATGTGGTAATTAAAAATACATTTTTATAAGGTTCCCAGGAATACCATTGGGATGGAAAGAAAGAAACATCCAAAATGCAATACTTTAAACTAGAACAATCGTTTCTGGAAATTTTAGCAGAAAAAGTTAGCCTATTGCTTTTTCCTATTGAATCTTAAAGCAAGTTTTTATTTCCTTTGAAACAATAATTATAAATGGAAACATAATAAAATATAGTAACAATCTTGAAATGTCTGAAAATTTTAAATTTGATGGTTTATCTTTAGGCTACTCATTAATTATAAAAATATCAAGCGGAAACTTACAATACTTTAAGCAAGGTAATTATCATATAATGACGGACATATACTCCAGCTCTATCTGGGAATACTCATTGACAGAATTTTGTGAGAACAGGGAACATTTACAGATTTCTTCAAAAAAAAAAAATAGCCTGAGACTTCTTGTTTATATGTGAGATTGGGAACCGTGTTGGAATTTAAAAAATCATTGATTATAGCTGCCTTCTTTTCCCGTGTTTAAATTTTAGTTTTTCTTCCATTAGTCTGCAAAATATAGTGAAGCTTGGCAAAGTAAAGAGGAGCTGGAAAATACAAAAACATTTTTATCTTTGACTGCTGTGTCTGAAGAAACTGTTGGTGAGTAGAAAGAGATGTCATTCAACTTTGTTTTTATCTGAGTCATAGAATATTTAGATTAAGTAAAATTCCAAATTCATTTTTTCTGTCCTGTTCCTTATGAGTTTGTTCTTTAGGGAAATAATCGATCACATTAAGTAGGACTATATGAAACCACTCTGAGTTTACGTATATTTCATTGTCTTTAAGTGTTTGTGTCTGCTTGACGGTGAGGGGAATAGGGCTGGGACAAACTGGGAAATTGACAAAAGTGTGTCGTTGCCTTTACTTCCTGTCTCTTTTAGGTGTCTCTAGACCCCACTTTCTGCGTATAATCCCCTAACTGCTTACTATCCTCTCACAGGGTGTCACTCAGACCTGCCAAACTCCTTTTGTTAAAATTCATGACTGATTTGTCCTATTTCCTGGTCTTTCATGGTTTTATTTTTTGACATGAGCCAATTCCACACATTTATTTCTACCTTTCTCCTTTGTTTGTATGTATATTTGTGAATCTTCTTTTTTGAATACAGACATTTTATGGAGTTATGTAACCTTTAAGCCACTTACATAATGGTGAAAATTTTAGGGATTAGAAACATTTTGTATTTTTGTATATCCTAGTTGAAACATCAAAATATAATATAGTCTGGCCTATATTAAATTCATAGATAATTTACTTTTTGCATCTTGTGTTTTACAGAAGTAACACGTGTGTACTGTATGTTAGAAAATATTGGTTAAACAAAAAAAATTACTATCAGCTACATTCTCAACTTGTAGAGATAACCACTATTAATCTTTTAGTTTACTCTTTATCTTTTGAGACGTGTTTAATACAAATATCCATGTATATATTTTGAGAATAAAAATATGATCAAATTATATATGTATGTGGTGTTTTGTAACCTTTTCCCTACTCAGTTGTATTTCATGAGCCCCTTTTACTGTCAATAATAGATGTGTGTGGTAGTTTGTTTCCGAATGGCTGCCATTAGCTCCTTTGCTTTATGTATGTCCATTCTCTTCCTCATTTAGAGATGGAGTCCATTTCTCACTCCCATTTCAGTCTTGGCTAGCCTGAAACAACTTTGATTGATATATTACAGCAGAATACTATGCCATTTCTGGGCCTTGTCTTTAAGAAAACAGGCAGTTTCTGCTTTCTCTTAAAATGCTCACTTAGAGGAACGCCAGCCATTGTGTAAGAGGTCAAGCCACTCGAGGCAGCCCTGCTGTGAGAAAGTCCAGGCAAGCAATATGGAGGGGCTATGCAGAGAGAAGATGACACTGGCTAGCTCCTGGCTGCAGTGATGTTGGTGATGTCTCTCTCGAATTCATGTCCACTTGGAACCTCAGAATGTGTCTTTATTTGGAAATAGGGTCTTTGCAGAGATTTATTTAAGATAAAGTCTTATTGGAATAGGGTGGGCCTTAAAAAAAGAGGAGAGGACACAAAGAGACAGACACAGGAAGAAGGCTGTGTGAAGACAGAGATGTAAGTATAAGCCAAGGAATGAAAAGATTCCTGGAAGCCAGAAGAAGCTAGGAAGACAGAGGACACCTTGATTTCAGATATCTAGCTTCTAGAACTGTAGAGAATAAATTTCAGTTGTTTTCAGCTACCCAGCCTGTGGTAAATTGTTATAGCAGCCCTAGGAAACCAATACACTGACTATTCAACAGTTTCAATGCAGAGACAGAATAAAGCAGCAAGCTTGGACATTTCAGCTCCACCAAACAATGCAGAGAATAACCAGGGCTAGACATATGGACCCCTGACCTACTCTAAGCATCTCCAGCCAAAGGGAGCTACCCAGCCATCTGAGGCCCCATTCATGGTGGAGCAGAGATAAATTGTTCCTGCTGTGTCCCTCAAATTCCTGACCCACAGAAGCATGAGCATAATAAAATGTTCACTGTTTTATGCCACTAACTTAAAATTTTTTTTTATTGTAAATTGACTATTTATGGGGCACAAAGTGATATTATGATTTATGAATGCAATATAGAATACTTAAGCTAATTAGCCTATCCATCACCTCAAATACTTGACATCTTTTATGGTTAGACCATTTGAAATCTAGTCTCTTCACAATTTTGAAATGCACAGTACATCATTATTGATGATATTCACTACACCATGCAGTAGATCTCAAAGAAAAACCCTTATTTCTCCTGTCTAACTGAGACTTTGTACTCTTTGGCCATTATTTTCTCATTTCCCATCCTCCAGCCTCTGGTAACCACCATTCTACTCTGCTTCTATGAGTACAATTGTTTTGGATTCCACATACAAATGGGAACATGCAGTATTTGTCTTTTTGCGTCTGGTTTATTTTGCTTGGCATAAAGTCCTCTGTTTGCATTCATGTTGTTGCAAATGATAGAATTTCCTTCTTTTTAAAGACTGAAAAGTATTCCATGGTGTATATACACTACATTTTCTTTATCCGTTCATCTGTTGGTGGATGCTTAGGTTATTCTGTAACTTGGCTATTGTGAGTAGTGCTGCAGTGAGCATGGGAGAGCAGACATCTCTTTGACAAACTAATTTCAAAGCTTTTGGGTAAATGCCCAGAAGTGGGATTTCTGGATCATATGGTAATTCTCTTTTTAGTTTTTTAAGGATCCTCCATACACTTTTCCATAATGGCTGTACTAATTTACATTCCCACCAATAGAATGCAGGGGTTTCCTTTAATCCGCATCCTCACCAGCACCTTCTCTTTCGTGTTTTTGATGATAGCCATTCTGACAGGTGTGAGATGAGGTGATATTTCATTGTGGTTAATTTATATTTCCTGAATGATTAGTGAGATTGAACATTTTCTGTATTTGTTGTATGCCATTAAGTTTTATTTTTTACTTTTTATTTTGAAATAATGTTAAATTTACAGAAAATGCACATAAGTAGTACAGATTTCCGTATGCCCTTCCCCCCAGCGTCTCCTAATCTTACATAACCATAGTGACCAAAACTCAGACATCAACATTGGTATAATACCATTAATTAAAGTATAGACTTTCTTAAAAAGTTACCAGTTTTCCCACTGATGTTCTTTTTATTTCCAATCCAAGATCCCATTTTACATTTAGTTGTCGTGTCTCCTTAATCTCCTCCACTCTATGATAGTTCCTCAGTCTTTCCTTGTCTGTCATGATGTTGACCCTTTTGGAGAGTATTGGTCAGCTATTTTGTAAAATGTCCTTCAATTTTGGTTTGTGTGATGTCTTCTCATGATTAGATGAAAGTTATGAATTTTGGTAAGCATACTCTGGAAGTTATGTGCCCTTCTCAGTCACACTTGATGTACCTAGTGCTGTTATGTATTATTATTGGTAATGTTTCATCTTGATCTCTTTGTTAAGATGGTGTCTGCTGGTTTTCTTCACTATAAAATTACTATTTTTTTCTTTTACAATTAATATGTATCTTGGGAGAGATACTTAAAGATTATGCAAATAGCCTGTTTTTTCTCCAACTTTCACCTGCTAATTTCAGCATCAGTCTTGCCTGCAATAGTTAGTACTGTATGCCACTAGATTTGGGGTGATTCTAAAATGCAACAATAAATAACTGGAACAATGTGCATCCGCATTATTTTTAATGATTATATATTAATTCATTAGATGGATGTGCCATCATTTATGTTTAATACCCTTCTATTGAACATTTAGATTATTCCCTTAGTTTTTCAATTTTTAAAATTATATATAATGTTGCAATGACATCTTGAGTCAATGATTGCAATGATTACCTCCTGTGGTAGGCTGAAAAAAATCCCACCATCAAGAGATATCTGTGTCAAATCCCTAGAGTTTGTGAATATTAACTTGTTTGGAAAAAGGGTCTTTGCAAATGTGGTTGTCCTGGAATATTGAGATGGGCTGTAAATTCCGTAATAGTAGCCTTATCAGAAAGGGATGGAGGGAGAAGAGGTAGATCAGGAAGAGGAAAAGGTGCTGCAAAGATGGAGGTAGAGATTGGAGTGATTCAGCCTCAAGCCTGCTGGCAACTACCAGAAGCTGGAGGAGGGAGGAACAGAATTTCCTCTAGAACTGGAGGGAACTTGGCCCTGCTGACACCTTGATTCTGGCTTTCTGGCCTCCAGAACTGTGAGAGAATAAACTTCTATTGTTTGAAGTCACCAAGTTTGTGGTAATTTGCTAGGGCAGCTATAGAAAATGGGTATACTTTGAATACATTCCTATAAGAGAAATACTTAGTCCAGGGTTGGAGTTTCAAAATATTTTTATTCACATTGACTTATTGAAATCAATTTATACTCTTACCCACCTTGTATCTGAATATTGTTTTCCTATACCAACAAGAATGGATTTTTAAGTTATTTAAAGCTTTGTTTATTTAAAGTGGAATCACAATAATTTGTATTTCTCTGATTTTCAGGGAAGTTATAGATTTATTCTTTTGTTTAGTCAGGTTGTGAGCTACCTATTCATGTCTTAGGCTCTTTTATAAAGTGAGATATTCTTTATTGATTTGAAAGACGTTTTAAAAAAATATTAAGGGTATTAATTCTTCGACTGTCACAAATACCAAAAGCATTTTTCTTTCTTCCTTTCCTTTCCTTTTTCCTTTCCTTTTTCCTATCCTTTCCTTTCCTTCTTTCTTTCTTTCTTTCTTTCTTTTCTTTTCTTTTCTTTTCTTTTCTTTTCTTTCTTTCTTTCTTTTTTTTTTGAGACAGAGTCTTGCTTTGTTACCCAGGTTGGAGTGCAGTGGCGAGATCTCGGCTCACTGCAGCCTCCACATCCCGGATTCAAGTGATTCTTCTGCCTCAGCCTCCTGAGTAGCTGGGATTACAGGTGCATGCTATCACACCCAGGTAATTTTTGTATTTTTAGTAGAGACAGGGTTTCACTATCTTGGCCAGGCTGGTCTTGAACTCCTGACCTCATGATCCACCTGCCTTGGCCTCCCAAAGTGCTGGGATTACAGGTATGAGCCACCACGCCTGGCCTCAAAAGCATTTTTCTAACTTATTTTGTCTTTAATTTTG